TTTTTTTTTCTCCTTTTTTTTTTTTTTTTTTTTTTTTTTTTTTTTTTTTTTTTTTGGTTCCTGTCCTGGAACTAGCTAGCTCTTGTAGACCAGGCTGGCCTCGAACTCACAGAGATCTGCCTGCCTCTGCCTCCCGAGTGCTGGGATTAAAGGCATGCACCACCACCGCCCGACCAGCAATTGATTTTAAAATATTTACTTGTGTCTTTTAGTAATGATTCCTCTAATACATAAAATGTTTTAACGAAAAATAAAATGGTATACATTTAAACACATGAGACACTGAGACATAAGTGTGTAAAGCCTGACCTCTTTGCACACTTTCATGTGAGCCACCAAAAAGAAAAGGGATAAAAGAAAAAAGAAAAGAAAAAGAGTTCTGAAATATATTTAGAAATGTCTGGTCTATAAGAAAAGAGAAAACAACTTAATATGGTAAATAAAATGCAAGTTTCACCGTCATTTATTTCCTTCATTTTCTATTCAAAGCAGATCAGTTATAAGCCTCCCACCTCAATTCTTTGCTTTACTCCCCTTCGTTTTGTTTCTGTTCCCCCTGTGAAAATAATCACTGTCTCATCTCTTCTGTGCTTCTTTATGTCTGGAGTGCCATCCCCTGATTCTCCACATCTAACACTAACCCTCCAAAATACAGATCAAAAAATTCAGTCTTTCTGATCATTACCCAATTTATGAGAAAGGTTTATTTGCTTCTATCATTGTGAAATTTGTCCACCTTATATCTAGTTCTATTATAGTATCTATCATGCTCTAATGTGTATTATTATGTTATTATATCTTTTTTCTTTAATTCTAAGATGACAAAGACCACTACTCATAAATTTGTCCCTTTTCCTAAGGCATTAAAATCCAAAGTAAGTGGTTTATAAATTTGTGTTATTGATAGATGATAGATAAGAGACAGATAGATAGACAGGCAGACAGACAGACAGACAGACAGACAATGTCTTTATTAAATGTTTTCCTGGTATAATAATTTTAAACATGTTTGATTCGATTAGAGAATGATTAGGCTAATTTTTCAAGTGTTTTGGATGCTCATGGGCACTTTTAGAATATCAAAAAAGTTCTATAATAATTAATAAAATTAGTTTTATCAGATTACTTCAGTGTTGTAAAACATTATTCAGCACAATGATCACCCACAGTATTATTACTAATATACTGTTGTTCTTTATGGAATGCATTTTCTTTCCACATTCTTTAGCTGGTATAGTAACTTTAATAATATATATAGACACCCAAAACAGACAAAATGAATATTGGTGAGGTATATTAGGTAAGCATCTGAAAGGAAGTTTCCTGATGATGTACATTTTTCATCCCACATCTTTTCTTCCAGCACACAATATACATATAGAAAGAGATTTCTTATAAGGAAATGACATTTAGAAAATCATATATCCATTTACTTTGTGTCATTGAATTTTTTTTTAAATCGTGTTTGCCTGAATACTCAAAATATTCCATAATTCCACCTCTAGTAGAGCGTGAAAAAGCTTTAAAGGACAGGGAAGCTACACCAATAATAGTTTCTTTCAAACTTTGGGCAGTAAGAAGAGACAAGACTGATCATCAGTTGGATCAAATTACCTGTTGGAGTGATAAGTCCTGGAGATAAAAGGCCTGGGACTGCATGGGGCAGAAGGCGGGCATTTTCTTGCAACACTCCCAGAGAACGCTTAGGTGGCCTGCCAGGTCTGGAACTGTTGGAAAACAAAGATAAACACAAATATCATTACTTGATACATTTGCTTTCTAGATCTTATTTGTTAAGAATAAATAAAATCTTATACTAGAGACTATGTGCTGTCGTGGATTAATAGGAAAAACCAACATTTTACAATAAATTTTACCATGTAGTTATGGCTAATATTAAAGCCACCAAGGATTAATTTTCAGTTTAGCTTTCATGTGTAAGCCAGTACTTTGCAATACAAACAAGCTGTTGTAAAGATTTCCTAAATTATTTCTTGCCCTTAAAGCTATGTGATCCCTGGTATCAATATACACAACTAAGGCAGAATTCAGACTGTACAAGTTTGTACAGTATAAATCTCTAATCAAGAAACCAGAGGAGAGGGGTGAAGAGTTGTGAGATGTAGACTAAAACATAATGTTTATTAGCATTTCTGCTACTGCTGAAAACCCATGAGGAACAAAGAAAACTCATTCCAAGTACATCATTTTATTTCTGCTTGCTTTGGATTCACTATAACTAAGAAAAATTGCTATGTATGTTGCCTTTTTCTCAAATCAAATATTTATTCACACAATTTTATTGGGCAATTGAAAATTTTGTGCAATGCATCATATTCGGTCCTCTCCCACCTCTTCCCCTTCCATATCCACTCAACTTTGTGTCCTCTTTGTTTTGAACCCATAAAGTCTCATTTTTGCTGCCCATATATTCTAGCTGAATAAAAACTTAAGCATTAACCTAATCTATTGCATTTACACATTCTTAATTCTAGTGCAAAAAGTTCAGATTATTTCAGAAGCTGTGGGTGTAGCTGAGTGATAGCAAGCCTGCTTTACATGCACATAGTCCTAAGTTCAATCATGAGTACAAAGGCATGGGGGAGAAAAATAAATTACAATTACTGAAATAAAATTAAAATTTGTATATCTGTTTTACCATCTCATTCCCTGATACAGAATAAGAAAATCATCATTTGGAGGGTGCCACAATTCGCAGACCTATCAACCATAGAATATTTGTATAAAGTCATTCTGAAGTTACTATACTTCTCATTCTATTAAATGTATTAATTTCTGTTGTAGTGTTACATGTCACAGTGTGAATAAGGAGGTCAAAGGACAACTTGTAGGAGTCACTTCTCTACTTTTACCATGTGGATCCTGGAGATTGAACTCAGGTCCTTAGGTTTAACAGCAAGTGGCTTTACTAACTGAATCATATTTAAAGTCCATATTTTACATATTATTTTAATTGTGTCTAAGACATTGTTGCTGCCTTTTAAAATAATGCATTTCATAAAGGAGAATAAAGGACTTTTGACTAAAGACTACAATATTGTATGTTAAATAGGGTGAGCATTGAAAAGTATGAGGTTCAGACAGACGACATTCCCAAAATGACTTCTGATTCACAAAGAGATATAAGACAAACTACATTCTATCAATTTTGCGGTAGTAAAGTGCTCCATCAATATAATACAAACTCTGCTTTTCAATAAGGACAACTACTAGCAACTTTACTCAGAGGTACTATTACCAAGCTCATTTTTTTATAAATTGTGCTAGCATTATTTTCTGCCATTACACATCAATATTTTATATCATTCTAGCAAGAAAAATTGTTTTTCTCATTTAATGTTTCAATTTTATAAACTTTCTCTACTTTACTTTCTATTCAATTCTGGGTCACAATTTATTTTATTTAACTCAGTGTTGATGCCCTCTTCGCCCTTCCCTGTTTTATGCCTTCAAAAGGTGCTAAAAGGGAAACATAAATTTTACTTCAAATATCCTTTAGGGGCCCAGGAGCAGAGAAAACATTTATCAAGATATTAAAGATAAATTACTTTTAAATAATAGTCACCAAATCTAAAATTTCTAAATGCGTTGTCTTGTACTAGGCAGAGCTCATCTCCTATTTAAATCCAGCAGCTCACTCTGTACTTCCCCCATGTGTTTCAGCGCTTCTCCAGCCTCATAATCTCTCCTCACACTGTCAGCTGCAGAAGGATGAAGCCTGATACCCCATCAAATTCCATATGAGGAACCATATAACACCCAACCATTAACAAAAGACTTTGAAAGCCATCTAGTTTAACTAGTTTTGTGTGAGTGAGTTTGTGTGTGAATCCTCCTTATTAAAAATAATTCCTTTCAAATAAATAGATAGATACTAGAAGCCTCTTGTTTAGTGGTTCCACTTTAATATCTAAAATGTGGATTGGTACTGGAGAATCCATAATTTATGTCACATCTAAAACACATGGATATAAATTCCATGGGATTATATTCTCCATCTTTGTATACTTTGAATATCTAATTTATATTAGTATAATTAATTGGGAGTCTTCCAAACAGGAGCCTGAGCTCCATGAAGGCATATGAATGTCTAGTAGTATGTATCACTGAATCTTAAACAATTCTTATGGTTTGTAGCATACAGGATGCCCAGTAAATAGTTAATTAGACCCATTAGTAGACAGGTGGTAAAACTCTATGTCATGGTTTCTATGGTTTCCAAATATTCATTAGATTGTTCTACTTAATAACATGAGCAGAGAGCTATTTCTATCATTTATTCATCAGATCATTATTTTGTTTTAGACCCTGTACTTTAATGCAATTATATAAGCTTCAGAACATGACCTACACAAATATGACTATAACATTAAATAAGAGTATGTTAGCTGTCACTTTATTATGCTCCCAGAGATGTGAGACACTTAAAGAACTGATTAATGGTTACATATTTCTGCAGTCTCACACACACACACACACACACACACACACACACACACACATCATTTGTTCAGTAAACCAGTAAACAAATATGTACTGGGTATCTACTATCTAGCTATCAGTGACACTGAGGTGAAAATATATGCTTGAAAAGAAAGATTACTCATTATGATTTTTCTATTAATATATTGTGAGAACAGGGAACAGACTCTGTCTTTCAAAAAATGTGCATTCAAAATTCAAAATTTTATTGACTCTTAAATGAGGATGGTAATATATTTCTTTGTAAATATGTTCAAATGTGTCTGAACAAAAATCCCTCACAGATATCATTAGTTTTAATTTTTTGAAAGAGTTAAGCACCTGGAATAAATTAATTGGAATTAAGTTAGTGAAAATAATTTATAATTAGTAAATTTCTAAAAAATATAAAATAGAATTAAAATTATTGTTAGTTTCAGAATAAAAATTCATATATAAAAAGACACTAATGGTTCTAAAATCCTAAATTTCCTTTCCAAGATAATCCGGAGAAACTGATGAAAGGCTATGTAGAAATCTGTAAAAGCTGGAAAAGATCACACATTTTGATAGACGATTCTTTGAAGCTACTTATCTTTAAGAAATTTATTATCATCAGGCAGATATTTACATATTAATCAAGACAAATAAACACGTGGTGATTTAGCTAGTAAACTGTTATTTAGATGACAATTTAATCAGTATAGGTTGAAAGGTCCATCACTGCAGCATCCGGTTTCCACTAAAATATTGATTGCATTACTGATCTCAGTAATGCTTTATGTTACAAGGCACAAATAACCATGTAATTACTCTTTAATTGAATGATAATTGCTTCTTGGCAATTATTTGTTTCAGTTTAATTACAAGGTTATTTGTACTCGGTAAAATGAAACACCCCCTTTTAAAGTTCCTACACAAATGGCTCTGTTGTTATGTTACCCGCATGCACTATAAACAGAAGCTACTAAGAAACATGCA